AGGTATTAAATCGCTGTCAAGTTACCGTACACCCTTCATATGTCTTCAGCACCTTCGAAAAGCTATTTCCTATTTGTGCTTCTTCGCCTTTCGTCACGTACGTATCTATATTTTCAATGTCTTAAGCATAAACACCGCTTAGCAGCCATATGTGTCCCTTTTATAATCGCGAATTCAGGATGAGGATAACCCCTTAAAGAAGTCGCCCGTCGATGAACCGATGGCCGTCTATAGACTTCGCCGCCCACGCCGTAGCTCGCCACAGGATGTCGAGAAGCGCACTATTGCTGCGTAAATAGGTAGAGCATAAGAGATTATGTCTTCGAGGAGAACGCTTTGATTGCCAGCCACTGGTTACACGATTTCTGATCACTACTAACACTTATCTGTGTATTACCGTAATTTTGTGATGCAAGGAATTAGCTGAACAATGAACAGTTCGGAAAGTGATGGCGGATTGGGTTCTCACTCTCAACTACCAATACCAGGATCCTACTTGCCGAGATTCAGAGTTTGAGACTTGAGTTTAAGTTTGGACTTTTCCCAGGTTCTAATGCACAGCTGGATGGATGAAATAAGATTGGCACATGAAAACTGGGGACGCATGGGAGCATAAGTGCGCCTACCAGACCTATGTCAGAAAGCCCTGGTTGACTTGACTGATCAGATCAGGGTAATTTATTAGTTGAGAAGAAATGGCGAATAAGCGAAAGATATTTCATTACGTGGTCGTTGGGGTAGCCACACGCATCAACGGTTGTTGAGTCCACATTGGGCATCAGGGGATCGTTCTTAGCGCACAAAAGATTTCCCGTGTTCCCCACTTCCCCTCACTTAAAAGGTTGCGTCGTAGGTTTGCTGTTTCCGCTCAATGGATGAGCAGTTTGCTTAGGAGGGTGGGGTGAGGGCATCTGCTCAATTCCTGTCAAGGTAGCGCGCTACTTTATACGGAATGTGAATTCTTTTGAAGGGGTATACGACAAGAGAATCGTACTTTGCCGCGCTAGCATTCGTAGCGAGCGACGCCGCGCTGCGAGAGACGAGTTCTCTAGCCATGAATTCGGCGGAACCGCGCGATGACTACCAAGGGAGCCGAAGTGTTCCTATGCTCCATATAGCCAATCCATGGCAGTAAAAACCGGTGCGGAAAAAGCATCGTGAAATATGTGCGGAATGAAGAAAAAATTTAAAAAAATGCGGCATTTTCCTCGAGTTTTGCTGCTCCAGTGGGAAAGTGAGGTATTGTTCACAGTCTGCGACCCTGACGAAACGGCGGTTGGGCGAAAAGCAAAAAAATACGGATTGATCGGAGAATCGCCAATCGCTCGTTTCGCCGAACCGCCGCGTCTCGGCGAAACGAGCGATTGGCGATTTTGCGATTTCGCTGGCGAAAAACGCAGGGCGGTAGAGCTGCGTTTCGCGAAAGCGAATCGGCGAGACGCGCGTCGATTCGTAAGAACCCTTTCAACCAAGCGCCGGACTATCGGAAGCTTTTCGCCGAAGGGTTTCTTTTGAGAAAAACGCAGGTTCGCAGACTGTGAACAATGCCTGACGCACGGTTTGAATTGCATGCGCTCAACGCCGCGTGACGCCCACATTGAAAAGTTCCCGCGCTCATCGCTCAATTGTGCTTCGCGTGCCACGGCTCGGAAAATTATGATTCTCGTATCTATCTCCTCTTCTGAAACCGGCAGCTACTGAAACTGATTTGGCTCATTTTATGGAGGCCGTGAACTCTTGTAAAGCTACTGAATGGAGCTATAAGGCCAGGAGACAAGAATTGAGCTGAGGATGATCAAGCTTCCGGTGGGCAAGCCAATTATCGCAATTTTTGGCACAGCGGCTCACGAGCGCTTACCAAAATGGTCCCCTAAGGTGGTCTGCGCGCTCGGGTATTTGGGGCCGTAACATACGGAAACCCTAGATTTGGAAAGGTCGTATTGTACCTACATGGCATTTCTCGCATCCTAGATGGTACTCCTGCTATGACAGTCATGGAAGATCTGCCCAAATGGCTAACCCTGAACACATCCCTCGATGTGTAATGATAAGTCGCCTCTTCGTTAGCTAATGCCATGCCCACAATATTTCGGTGAGTTTCACCTAACTTATTTCCAACATACTTGATAAGTATTGATTCCTTCTTTACATCACCTTTGTTCAACATCGACACATAAGAAGAAGGCTCTAGTCAATTCTCGATTCTTGTGTTCGCCGCCATTTTCATCACATTTTTCTACACGAATGAACATTGAAACATCACATTTTTATTGTTGTACCCGTAAACAACGAAGAGTTATGAGAACATGAAGAGAATCATCACTGAATGGTTAACAGATCGATCACAGATAGTGAGCGAATAGAGCTTTTTCTTTCTCGTTTGCCGACAAACTGAAATCTAAAGGTTGGTTAACGTGTGGAGAGCCATGAAAAAAGCAAGAAACGAGGTTTACTATTGCTTGAAAAATCATTGGAAAATTATATAGGTGAGTACGATGAATGCGCCTCGTTAGATAATGGGAGTACGGTGGAAGGTAGAAAGAATTATATTCTGGGCAAAACGGTATGCCTGAATATTGCTTCGAAACGTCAGCGCTGCTTTTGACAGTACTGTTTCTACCAAGTAAGCAAAAGCATATTTGCCTTTCTTGTAACTTGGGCATTTCTTTACTTATACAGTTGATAACTTCTTTCTTGTGCCGAACAGGTTTCTATGGAAAAATACTTTAGTACGCTTGACGTTTCGACAGTCTCGCAGTTTTCAAAGGCCTGAAAGCATACTGAAACTCGTAAAGTACTTCCCATCCTATTCCACATGGGCCGCTAGCAATTAGTTGCAACTCAGGCGAAGGTACAAGGATTGAAGGTGAATCGAAACAGATATGCGTTGAATTCGTTCTAACCGCAATAGCTACGTTCTGTGCCAAGTAACTCACTAAGAAGCGAAAAGGGGTAGGGTTTCGGCAGCGGTACTTCTTGAACCGACTGCCAGGTCCGATCGCCTGAACTCTGAGAATACTGGCGTACTAATAGCGCTATGCTTGATCGGCAAGAGTCACAGTCATTGGTGATACACAGATTTCATCTAAAGCTATGGTTTTTTTCGAATTGGGGTCACCGTTCTCATTAGCGCAAGTGATCAGACCGCTTATGAATCGCAAAATAGTGTGCGGTTTGAAAATTAGAGATCTGTTAAGGACGAAGACACCCAGAGAAGTATGAGTGAAAGGGTGGAGCATAGTGTTCAAGCATTACAACATCTACTCCGTTCCCGCGACCATTTTATAAAGAGCCTGACCCGCTCCCCGAGGCCGATATAAGTTTCGAATATTATCATCGGGAGTGCTCGAGAGCGCTCAGTAGATAGATTCAAGCGAGAAAAGCGCACAATTTGACGAGGGAGCAATGGGAAGGATTCAGCGAAATCTGAGATAGAATATCGCGCAACAAAATACTTTCTGTCAGCGATAAGGGCGGGGAATTTGTGGCATTGCCCAATCCATGGATAAGGGAAATCACAGAGCTCCGTCTATGGGATACAACTGTTTACCGTTCATGGACGGAAAATGCCTTTTGTACACAAACGCACAGATTACACGCTATGGATGAAAATGGCAAGTCAGTAAAGCTAGATAAAAGAATTACCAGGCTCTACCGAATTACATTAAAAGGCTCAAGCTGGAGAATCCTACATGCCCAGTGTTTTACAGTCTTGTGAAAACACACAAGTTGTCCGCTGAAACGCGTGCACTCCCGTTCGCCAGAGATCTTTGGAATAAGGCCAGTGATAAGCTGTGTGAATTGACCGCCAATCGTATTTCGCGGTTTCCCAGCAAAATTGTGGGTCAACTTCTTGTGTGTATACCATCACATCTGTCAGATACGCGCCAGTACCCTTGATCTCTTACGCTCCTGCAGACTTCAGCGCGACTGTGTCGTAGAATCGTTGACGTGTCTGCGCTCTACACCAACGTTAGCAACAACGAAGCTCTGCAAGCAGTCTCAGAAATGCTTGACGAGCATGCAGGAAGTATGATAACGTTTGGATTGAGCAAAACACAGATAATGGTTCTTATCAGGGAGTGTCTGAACTGCAATATATTCAAGTGGTTCGGGAGGTACTTTTCTCTGACTAGAGGACCTGCAGCTGGCACCGGTTCTCGCTGTCTGCTTTATGAGCAGAACCGAGCGTCCAGTGCTGGCTCCTTACCCAT